CTGAAACTTGGAATATTCCCAGCACTCCTGTAATGTTTTGTTTGTGACATTTCCTTCCCCACTTCCTGACCCAATAAGCAAGAGCAATTTTCTCTCTTCTTAGCTCCAATGGAGTCTCTCCTGCTTCAACTAATATTGCATTAGGGGTTGACTTAATTGCACCTATACACAACCATAACGCTTTATATTGTAACCTATCAATTTTAAGTAATGACGTTTTTGCTGCTGCTGCATATTATACACCCGTAATCCAGAGTTGTCCTCATAATTGCCCTATAGATGTCGATTAATGCCTGTTTGTCTGCCCCCCAGTCACATCCAGCCACTGCCCTTAATAGGTTCAACACTTTTTTGGATTTTGTTTCCAAATGTTTAATATGAGTTTTCCATGTACATTTACTATCTAACCATAGCCCCAGATATTTAAATTAATTGACCTCATTCATCGGCTTTCCATATAATGTAAGCTTCTCAGTCTCCATCTTACGTTTATTCGTAAATTTCATGAAGCAAGATTTGCTTGCTGACAGCTTGAAACCCCAGTTATATGACCACTTCTCCACTTTCTTTATAGCTTTCCCTATCTTTTCAAAGACATATGGAACATTTCTTCCCCATATCCATATGGCCCCGTCATCTGCATATAGCGCAGATTTTATGCATCCCTCCAAATTACTAAAAATGTCATTTATCATAACGTTAAATAATATCGGGCTGATTGAACTCCCTTGAGGAATACCATTTTCTATACTGCAATCTTTTGAAACCTCTGCCCCTACTTTAACTCTGAATTTCCTGTCTGATAAAAAAGCCATGATCCAGTTATACATTCTCCCTCCAACACCCATTCTACTCAATTTGATGAGCAACCCATCCCTCCACATAGAGTCATACGCCTTTTCAATATCAAAATATGCTATTGCCACAACCTCTTTCATTTTCATTGTCTTTTCAACCTCATTGCTTACTCTTACCAAAGCATCAATTGTGGATCTTCCTTTACGAAAACCACTCTGAAAATGACTCAGTAACCCTCTCTGTTCTAAGACGTGTGATAGTCTATGCACTATCACCTTCTCCATCCATTTACACAAGTGTGATGTAAGAGCTACAGTAGTTATTGGGATTAGCAGGATCCTTCCCTGGCTTATTAAATGGCAATATGACTGCCGTTTTCCAACTCCTTGGTAAGACTCTGTTTCTCCAGATTTTATTAAATAGTCTCAGTACTAATTTGAATGTTTCCACAGGTAATTGCCGGAACATGGCATAGCATAACTGATCTTGTCCTGGTGCTGAGTATCCTGTACCTTGTAAAGCTATTTTAAGTTCTGCTATTGAGAAGTCTACATCAAGAGCTGATTTATCATCCCGTCTTTTTTCCCTCACATTTTCATTTTCTCTTAATACACACTCTTTTTGCTGTCTATGTTTGTCATCCAGGTGCTCCCCACTATGCACCGCGGCAAATGCCCTACCTAAACATTCTGCCTTCTCTTCATTTGAAACTGCCACTTTATCCCCATCAATCAAAGCGGGAATTTTAACCGACTTCCTTTTCCCATTCATCCGTTTAAACATAGACCATACATCCCCTAACTTTACTCCTCTTCCAATGGTGGAACAAAACTCTCCATGACGTCTTTTTTGTGTATTTTATTGTTTTACGGGCTACTGCCCTTTTCCTTTGATAATCTGTAATATTGTCTTGTGACAAGTCTTTCTTTAAAGACCTAAATGCCTTGTTTCGCTCTTTAATAGCTCTGCTACATTCCTCATTCCACCACGGCACCACCTTCTTCCTACCCTCTGTTGTTCTTTTTGGTATAGTTTTATTTGCTGCTTCTTTAATGTGCATTGTGACTTTATTTGAGCACTCCTCTATACTTCCTTCTAATGCTAACAATTGTGTTGAGTCCTTACAGTAAAGCCTACATGTTTCCCAGTCAGCTTTACCAAAGCACCACCTGGTAAATACACTCCCTTCCTGTCTAAATACATTTGTGTTGATGATTGTAAAAACTGGGTAATGATCACTTCCTATGGTAGAATCACCTTTACATACCATTCACATGATTTAACTAAACTATCCGTCACCAGTGTGAGGTCCAAACATGATTGTGTCCCCCTATTCACGTCTATTCTTGTTTTTTGTCCATCATTAAGGCAAAACAGTGATCTTTCCTCTAGCATTTCTTCTACGACATCCCCATTACTGTCTGTTTGACTGCTTCCCCATAGGCTGTTGTGAGCATTAAAGTCACCACACCATACTTCCCTTCTATGAGCCGTCCCTGCTATTGTCTGTAAGGTTTCAATGTTCAGATTTTTGCACGGGTTATAGAAATTGATAAGCTTTATGTTCCCTTCTTTCCTTGGGCTGCATATTTCTACTATGACACGTTCCTTGTCTTACGGGGATGGGACTACCCTATAGGCCAGCCCAAAGTAACACACCCTCCACCATTTTGATTGCTAACTCTATCATATCTTATAGAGCTGAACCCTGGAATCACAAAGTCTAGATGAGGTTTTAACCAAGACTCTTGCACACAAATTACATCTGGCAAAAGTGTTTCCTTCAATGTACCATCTCGTTTGCTCATAAGTCTGTTGGGCTCAATAACTTTTCCTCCTTTAATCTCCTTTTTAACATCATCCATAGACATATTTAATTGGACTCCAGATATGACTCCTCAGTTTCAACATTGTCATTGCTCCTGGGATATGAGCCTTCATTTTTCCCCCTCAACCTCACATTCCCCTGATAGGTGGAGAGTTGGCCCAATAGCCGTAGCGCCACTGTCCTGACGTCAGTGAAATGTTCAAATCTGGATCAGTTTTTATCAGATCCGTTGCAGCCCCGTTTTTAGAGATTTGGGTATGGAGGAAAATAGAGAGGGTTGTGTTTTCTGACACTTGGTGAGTTCCCTGGAACACCGGGGACACATATTCATGTATAAAAGATCTTTTCTACTTCATGCTATCTGCACAAATGGTTGACATTAAACATTAAAACGACCAGGCAGTTCAGAGAGAATCAAAGGAAGGCAGGCAGGCAGCTTTGCATGCCATTCTTCTGGACATGTTTCATTGTGGTAATAGTGAGGATAGTCAATCCCTTTTTTGACAAGACAGTAGTGACGGCCATCTTGGTGACGTGTGTTGTTGTCCAGAGATATAGTTCATTGAGCGTTTCACACAAAAAAAATTGTTATTTCACAGTTTTACGACACATTTTTTTTTTTGACTTGCAAAATTATCTTTTAAATTGACAAACATCATATGTGTAATTCGTGGCACAATTCAAACGGGATCGAAAGATAATCTTTCTCTCTCCATTGACTTCAATACATATTTTTTCCGAAATAAGGTCCCATGGAGGTCCACCGGAAGGGGAGGGACTTCGCCAAAAATTATATATTGAAGTCAATGGAGAGAGAAAGTTTATCTTCCGATCCCGTTTGAATTGTGCCACGAATTACACATATGATGTTTGTCAATCTTAAAAAATAATTTCCATGTCAAAAAAGTCACAGTTTGTTGTAAAACTGTTGAAATATAAGACTATGAAAAATACGCAACTAGAAAGACTACAAATCCCAGAGTCGCGTAAGTGATGTCATTAACGTTACACATTACACTCGTGTTACTCACCGAAACCTTGTAAAGCCGGTCCCGCATGCTGGCTCTTACGGAACCGACTAACTCCCCTTTTGTGTGCGTACAGCTCTCAACATGCCCAGACTTGTAGTGATTTTCACCTCTTTTAATACTTTTCGCCTCATTCTGAAAGAAAGAGGTGAAATGTGCCAACGTGACGGCCATCTTGGTGTTGGTGACGTGTGCGAGACCAGAGATGTAGTTCATTGAGCGTTTCACACAAATAAAAGTGTTACTTCACAGTTTTACGACACATTTACATTTTTTTGACTTGTAAAATTATCTTTTAAATTGACAAACATCATATGTGTAATTCGTGGCACAATTCAAACGGGATCGAAAGATAATCTTTCTCTCTCCATTGACTTCAATACATACTTTTCCCGAAATAAGGTCCCATGGAAGTCCCCCGGAAGGGGAGGGACTTCGCTCGCAATGCATTGATATCTGCTTTACTGTCACCTGCTGGACTGGAGTGTAGGTCTTTAAAACGACAAAACGATCCCACCCTAATGTTCGCTTACTAGAATGGTCTGGTGCTTTCAACCACATCACATGATCTTCCATTGTCATTAACTTAGCTGATGTTGTGATTTGATCTGAAGCCCTTCTCGTTCCTGTTGGCTTAAAAACAGATGTTCATTATTGACCATAGAAATAATAGTTTGACTAAAACTTCTAAAATCGAAGTACACTCTTATTAGCTTTATCACATTTCCATTGCCCCCACATACAAGGCAGAAACCCAGAGTAAAAACAAGCCATTGCAGAACTGACATTGCATTTAACCGACAAGCACCAATGGACAGTTTACAGAAGGGACTGTACTGTACATTACATTACTAACAGATATATATATTTAGTGTTTAGTTAGGCTCATAAACTAAAGCTCCCCTACATTGGTAAATTATAAAAGATAAACTAATACAAATGTTGTTTCTTTCAACACATAAGAATAACACTTGTTTCCTAAAATAAAAGCAAACCAAAGCAGACTGAAGATAAAGATGATTTAAATAGAAACGTCACAGCAATGAGAAGTGAAAATCGTTTTTTTTAAATAAAGAATTAGACTTCTGCATTCTCTCTCTCCATGAATTTCTGAGTGACTTTTGTTTCACTAACACTAGGTCAGAGTTGGTCAACAGCTTTGATGAGTTATGTACCACTCCTTGTATTAGTCAGACACAAGTTCCTCTTCCACAGAAATGCCCTTGGGGATTACACCAATTTCCTTTCCAATGTAAAATAAATTCACTTTAAATTCCATGTACATTTTCAGCATGTAACATTCACTGGAACAGTTTGAAATATATATTTCTCAATCTCTCCTCCAGGTGCGAGCCTCCATGTGGCAGACAGTCGATACTTTTGGTTCCACCACAGTGAAGGCGACACCATGAGCGTTCAGGACCCTCAAGAAATGAACCTCTGCTCGGCATTGTGGGCCGTGGTCGCATATGTGGTGGCCGACCTACAGGACATGTTGCCCAGGTAACCAGTTCAGGATGCTGAGCTGACCTGAACAGCACAAGATCACTGTGAACTGGACGGGTTCATTTTAAAGGTCCCATGTCATGGCCATTTCTACTGTAATAACCGGAAAAGCATGACATGGGACCTTTAAACAAACAGTCAAATCAAACTTATTTTTTTATTTACATGAGATTGAATGGTTTGATTCAGGGAGTCTTTGTTTACACAGTGAATGTGAATCATACTCAGATAAAGGAGTGTATCCAAGAGTGGATTAAAAGTAGAATGTTGCATGATTTCAGCACAAACCTGTTTTATTTATTTTTTCATTTTACAATAAAATACATTTGTCATTGCAACAATAAGTTTGTTTGAGAATAAAGATCCAATAGATTTACATAATGTTTTTACTCTGGGCGGTTCCATGGTTATCTTAAATCTTAAGCAAGATAACCAGGACTAAAATAGGCCATGTAAAATCAACATAGCACATGCTGATATGACCATTCTACGAAATGTTTTATACTGATTTTGAGCAGAGAAGAGCACACTGCTTAAAACCACAGAAACATTTTATCTTGTTCATGGAAAAGCTCATTTAAAAAGTATGGTTTACTGACTGGGACAAGAAACCAAGAAAGTTAGAATAGTGGACTTGCTTAGGTACTTTATTTTTCTGAATGTTTTTATCTTTTGGGCTGAGAAATCAAACAGGCAACAACAATGAGCTAATAAATAAGTATTATGAGACAATGTGGAACTGTTTAAATCTGTATCTGTCTGTATGCATTTATATTGTGCGCTGACAAATCAAACAGGCAACAGCAATGAGCTAATAAATAAGTATTATGAGAAAATGTGGAACTCTCTAAATTCCCAATGGTTTCATCAATTTCAAGAAGAATAAGAAAGAAGAATGACCTCATCTTAACATTTACAGGATATTCGGTAATATTTAACACACCATTGCCGTGTTGTAATATGATAATTGAAGTATTATCGTTTGCTTTACCACGTCACCCCGTCTGCTCTTCTGCTTTATTACTCTGAATGTTGCTGATAGTGTTGTTTTTGTTCAAAGAAAGAGGAAGATGACGACAAATGAGACGTACATGTTGAGTGGAAAGAAGAAGCAGGACATGTGATCCTGAGATATGAGAAGAGCAGAAGTCGTACAATACAATACAGCTTTATTTATAGAGCACTCCAGACCAAAGTGCTGCACAGTCAAATAAACAAAACAAAACATACAAAAAATAACACAGCACAGCTCACACACCATAACACAAGTACAAGTAAAAACAATAGACAATTTAAAAGCAACACTCTAAAAGATGTTAATACGCTAAGGAGAAGAGGTGGGTTTTAAGAAGCGATTTAAGAGCAGACAGTGTGGAGGCCTGTCTGATATGAATGGGCAGATCGTTCCACAGTGTGGTAGCCGCTACAGAGAGGCAACGGTCCCCTCTCCACTTTGACTTGGTTCTGGGCACGTTCAGGAGCAGTTGATCCGGTGACCTGAGAGGGCGGTTGGGCGTGTAAGGGTGTACAAAGGAGGAGAGGAAGTCAAGTTATACATCATTGTGTGGGCGCCATGTTCACCATTGCAACATATACAAAACACACACACACACACACACACACACACACACACACACACACACACACACACACACACACACACACACACACACACACACACACACACACACACACACACACACACACACACACACAGCTGGGATCTCTCCACCCGGTGAACTGATAAGTCAGCACTGTGATATCAGTGTGAGTCAGCCAACTAGTGCAGATCAAGTCATTTTTGAAAACCCCAGATGTGTGTGTGTGTGTGTGTGTGTCTGTGTCTGTGTAGAAACAAAGCTGTGTAACTTTTAACCCGTTTCTGCTGGTCTCTTCCTCCTCGTATGCCAGTAACACTGATTCACACAGACAGTTATTTTAGTGAAGAAACACACAGTCTGTGAATGTTTAACACACTGAGTCACATATGCACCGCCGACACAATTTAAAGAAAACCAAATGAACGCATTAACACGAAACAGACATCTGATAGAGCATACAAAACAAATATAAATAAAGTCAGGTTTTCTTTAATGATCTCTAGAATCTATATTAATATTGACCGAAAAAATGTTTTTTCAAATGTATCATATTCTCATCTCAGGTCACTGTTCTTTCTCATTTACCTCTGTATTTAAAGCATTACAATAAAGAGATGCAGCTTTCTGTTTGTTTCACAGCAGCTGTGATGTGACAGTGAACATTCAAGCTGATGTGATATTGGTGTTTAACCTGTTTTATTCCAAAAATGCAGCCTACAGCCATCATTCACCCATATGATCCAGTCTGTATAACAACATATGCTTAGGTTAATTTTAGTCTCCTTTTTTAAATCCAAAAGATAAGTCTTGCTGAATGAATAGTTACAATATCCAGGTCATGGAGCATGGAAATGTAGAATCCATTGATTTGATTTGAACCGAGAATTTAAATATGACCAGTTCCTTAACAGCTCACAGGAATGGCAAAGATGGGAAAAAAAGGTAAATGAACAACTCAACAATTGTGCTCTTTGTGGATATTTGAAGACAATTTTTTCAGTTAAGTATTTTCTGAGATTGTTTAGTTTGTAAAATTTACATTTGTGCGTGCGATTCTGTGACAATATATTGTTCTCTCCTACTAATTATGTTCATTTGAATTCAGAACACAACCAACAACCCAACTGGATGTCAGCCTGTGGTGCTTATGAAGAATTTATCAGCGTATGCCACCACCTGGTGGACAGCCTCTAGCATGGCGTCTTGTAACTTCATGTTTTTTTTATTCCATTCCTCGTTTGTCCAACAAGGGTTTATTAACAACAATACAAAGAAAGGGAAAATATTTGCCAAAACTAGGATTTTTTTATTTTGTATATATACACACAACACACATTTTAACAGTTTATTTTAATTTTTCGTACACTTGACATGCAACTTGTTAAACTGCTGTTTAATTATTGACATTGCTACCAAGGCATTTAAAAAAGAACAATTATTAGTAAAATGTTTTTGACAAATACAAACGTTACCAAGGCAACAAACATAACTGCATTCATTTACAAAATGATTTGCATTAATTGACATGAGATCATGTAGCTACAGGCCTCCTGGAGTTGAAGACCTTGATCCCGTTCTGCATGGAGGAGCGAGCGTGTTTGGTGAGGAGCGCTCCGGTGCTCTGCTTCTCTCCACACAGGTCCCTGAACAAGGAGAAGCGTTACATGTTATAATCTATCAGATATCTAAAGAAATAAATGATGTGATTTGTTTCTGCCCCAATGTTCACAAGACCCATTTTTGTACCTACAATTTACATAAATGTAAAGCAGAAAACATTATGGTTGTTCTTTTACTTTTATTTAGGGTTATAATATTGTCCTATATGGATAACACCTACTTTATGTATGGTGTGATGTCGTCTTCTGTCCATTTCTCTCGGAGTGTGAAGAGCTGGTTGAAGCGCTCCAGCGTGTCCTCGGAGAGATCCTCCACCCGCAGCAGGTTGATGGTCTCTGGGCGGGAGCTACGGTCCACCAGGGCCACGCTCTGGAAAATGTACAACATAGTCAGCACTGTGCTCATGTCAGATGACCATGGAAACCGAAACCACAGATAAAATGGAATGCAATGTAAACTGGCTGGAAAGAAAAAGGGTTATACAAGTGCTGGTGAAGCCATTCCTATACAATGTTCCTACTTTAGTTATTTGACATTTAGAATTAAGTTCTATTTTTGGGAGTAATATGCGTCTTATGTGTGGAAATAACCATCTTTTCTCTTACAATAAGTATATAAGGGTACAGGTTTACCTTTAGCTGGTCCAGTCTCGTGCTCATGCCCTCTGGGACGCTCTGCTGCCAGACTTCCTGAAACTCCCTCAGGTTGAACTTCACGGCGTTCTGCAGCAGCATCAGCGCCATGCCCCGACATACTTTATCCTCATCCAGGGCATACAAAACGTCATCTATAAAGAAGGAGGAGGATACAGGAATGTAAGTATGGGTAGTTACAAACTGACTGTAATTCAAACTGAAGGTTTTTCAGTTGAGTCTCCGTTGATTTATTTTACTTTACCGTTTTCAGAATAGCGGTTTCCATAGCAGTTCAAACAGTGCTCGATCATCTGTCTGCGAAAGAGATAAGAGGAGTTATTGGAACCTAGCTGAGCATCTAATATAAGACCCATCCAGCCTTATATTAGATGCTCAGAAAGTTAGTTTAACCCCATTTCTCATCCCCTAAGCCTTATCAACACCACTCAAAACTGCCAATGGTTTTATTTGCTGTTGCTTGAGCATAACACCCACAGATGTTAACTTACTTGGGCTCCAGTGGAGCTAACTCTTCCAGACAGGTCTGCAGGGGAACCCTGTTGAAGGCCCAGGACTCAGAATCTACCAGCTGGGTCACATGACCGAGCAGCTTCATCTCGTAGTCAAAGTCCAGCATCCGCCAGTAACCTAGAAGAGGATAAAGACACTCTCTCAACATCTGGTAGTTCTTCGGTTTGTTATTGATATAAGTACGCAATGCTACAAGTAAAGAATTTGTATAAATAAAAGCATATTTATTGCACTGGACCTCCCAGGAGAACTACTTTGAAAGCAATGTGGCACCTATTTGTGGCTTTGCAGCAAACACAACTTTAACAACTACTACATGTGTAATTTTTATAAAGAAATGTCCCCGTTTACCATCTATCTGACAGGCGTGGACGGCTTCTAAACTGGTCTTCAGCTCCTCTTCACTGGCCTGGATGCTCTCCAACAGATCCTCCATTGTGTACTGGTAACAGAGGAACACACACTTACTAAAGGCTACAATTACATTAAAAAAGATAGAATACTCAAGATTTTTAAAAATATGGCTAGAAATCCTTAATGATCTGATAAGTCCTATATGTATATTCTCACAGTCTGACAGGATATTTGATTGAATGACTTCATTGTAGAATATGTTTTACCCTGTTTTCGGTGTCCTCCTCCTTCCCCCCTAAAGCAGGTCCTTCGTAAGGATTCTCCATTAAGACCTTCTTCAGTTTCTTCAGCTTAGGCCGCTGCTTCCTCAGCTCCCAGTAGCTGTTACTAAATCCCCAGATCTACAACAGAAGTATACTTTTCTTAGAGTTGTTGGGTCATAATTGCACATATACACAGTGGGGTTTGTGCAGGTGTCACAGTATACCAGGCCGGAACCATTCAGTGTCCTTTCCATACCTGAGTGTGCACAATGTGAGAGTTTTCCTGACTGTTAGTGAGTTGGTCTGGTGTTCGGCAGTCTGGTACAAACATCAGCATGTTGGATGTGTCGGCGATTTTAAGATCATAGGTCCTGTCTTTTGTACAGAGCACTGCATGTTCATCCGTATCCCCTCTTATCACTAAACTGAAGAAAAAAATAAGAATTGTTAGGTTTCATATGTATTCATCCATCATGTTCATGCATCTTGCGCCACAACACTGTTCATTATTTTGTATTATATTAACCACAGTGATCATTTGAGTTACACAAGCAAAAAGAAAGAAAGGGAAGAGAGTAGCAGAGGTGGGAAGTAACTAAGTACATTTACTCAAGTACAATTTCGAGATACTTTCAGATTATTTGAGTATTTCAATTTTGAGCTACTTTGTTTTTCTACTCCACTACAATTTAGAGGTAAAGAGTGTACTTTTACTCGACTACATTTATTTAATACCTTTAGTTACTTTGCAGATTTTGATTAATGATGTGAAATATAATCAAAACTTAAATCAAACTTTAGTAACACCTGGAGTAAATTCACATACCCTGCAGTATACAAAGTCATTAAAACTAGCTGCACCTTTACCAGCTGTGATAAACACATTAATGCATCAATAATTATAAATTATAATCAAAATGTAGTATATATTTTATTCTGAAATGGAGCAATCTGCATAATAAGTACTTTCTTTTGGTACTTTAAGTATATTTTGATGCTTATACTTTTGTAGTTTTACTTGAGTAACATTTGGAATGCAGGACTTTCACTTGTAACAGAGTATTCCTACCCTCTGGTACTTCTACTTTTACTCAAGTACAAGATCTGAGTACTCCTCCCACCTCTGGAGAGTAGTTTACAGACGGTCTGTTCTCACCAGGTTTTAAACAGGCTTCATGGGCTTATTATTTTACGAATACTTTACCTTTCCCCTGCTTCTATGAGTTTGCACAGGGTGTCGTCCAGCTCCAAGAGGCAGTAGTCTGCAGAGGAAACGTTTTCCCCGAAAGAGAGACAGTGAATTGTTTTCTGCAGCTCTTCCTCCTGCAGCTTGGCGATCTGCAGAGTGGCCTGAACCTCCTCTAAAGTCCTCATTTCCGGTCAGACGACAGGTTAGAGCGATAATAACTGAACGAATAAAGCCCTTCAAGAAATAAAGATATGTACAAAACAAGACAACACGTATCTAACTTTGTGTAGCAATAGTCGGTGACTGTCAAATTCCCCCGCGTTCTTTCTGTCGTGGAAAGGAAGTGGAGGAACTACGTTGGTGTGCGACTCAAAAATATCACCGGGTAGAAACATAAAATCACGTACATTTAAATTAGAAAACCGGTAACTTAAAACTTCTGTGATTTTCAATAAGTATCCTCGAGGATATATTTAAAGGTTGTCTTTAATACTAAATTACAATATAAATAGGCGTAGTCATGAAATGATGGCTCATATTGCTTCACGAGTTGAACCTGTCTCACATGCTGTTTCAACCGAGATAAATTAGTTGACGCACCCCCGTTCACGCTGAGGGTCAAATGTTTTGAGGATATGCTGCACGTTTAATCGAAATGTCAAGTTTTTCGAGATCTGCCCAGGTAACCGTACACATTAAACATTACACGATCTTACCTTGTCTCACAGTTTGATCGTTATGTTCGTTTAGGTCAATGTTATGCTGATAGCTAACGCACGTTGCTAACTAGCTAGCCGGTATGTGTGATTTCATTTCTTTGGTGGATGTTTTTAAATAATAGTCAAACTTGCGGACTGCCCTCAGCAGTTAGATAAATACACAAAAGTGAAATTATGTTTTATCCTAACGTTAGTGTTTGCATAAACATTTATAGCCAATATTATCTCTGGTTCAGCCCCTGTTATTTTTCACATTACGTTTACATCATTGTCCTTTGGCTACTTATAAATCAGATCTTTCTTATTAACAACTTTGAGCCTTCAAGTTATATTAACGTTGGTGATGAAATGAAAGAAATAAAGTCAATAAACAAATAAGGAATGTAAACTTCCATAACAAACCATTTCAGACTTGATTGACACAGACACACACACTCTTAATCAATATTATCCATGGCAGTGGGCTAGCATGCAGGGCCTTGAAGTTAAAGAAATTGAATTCAGCCATCATTCTTTTTAATTGTATATCCCCCTCTTTCACAGTTCTTCTCACTTGTTTAACAATAATTTAATTATTTGTTCATGTTTTTCTGTCAGCAATGGGCCACCTTTGCTCGTTCCTGGTTCCTGATCGATGCCAGGATGCAGCCTCCTGGGAAGATAGCGACCATGTGTGCTATCAGATTACAGGGAAAACACAAGCCTATCTACCATGCAATGAGTGAGTAGGAGTCCATCTGTAAAACACACACATATACAGTCAAGAGTAACTGTATGACCTTAATATTACCCTAACGCCTTGTATAAACTGCTGCACGTTCAACATGTCCCCAAATCCCATCCTTTCTTTCATGTTTCTGTATGAAACGGCCACACGATGGCAGTAGAGGACAACCCTAATAAAACATGTTTTGTTCCTTATTACTTATATTTAATCAAGGGACATTTTCAGATTACTTTTTGTTGGTCTAAAAAACATTATCATTATAATTTCTGTTTAAACTATTGTCAAATATGTATTTTTATAATTTTCATCATAAAGATAACCCTGGAATAAAACTCTTTTGTAGGTGACTGTGGTGACCATATTGTAGTAATGAACAGCAAACAAATAGCTTTCTCTGGGAACAAATGGGAGCAGAAAGTCTACTCATCACATACAGGGTAAGTGCATACTAGCTCATATATGATATTTCACTTTTCCCGTCTCTTTATCTTATGTGTTTACAATTTTGCTTTGTTCTTCAATGCCTATGAACCAGCATTTCTCAGTCTTAGTAGTCTATTGTTCACCGTCACTATGAAACATGTCCTTCATGATTAAAAAAACTGATTTATCTTTAATATATTCATCAATCTATATATCTCAAGGCTGTTAACCAGGAAATATTGAGAATGTTAAAGCTCAAAGGTTTTATATGATCCAGTACAAGGACTGACTGAGCTTGTCTTTCTCTCTAAAGATATCCGGGTGGATTCAAACAGCTCACAGCCGCCCAGATGCACCACAAAGACCCAAAAGCTGTAAGAGTCTTCAGTCAATATTCTCCATTTTTATTGTTATTTCAAGATCATTCTTAAATTGCAGATATATTTTGGTGCCCCCATTCTTAAACCATAATGTTTCTTATAAACTGTATAATTTAACCGTAGACCCCTTTATATCAGTCTGTGAATTTCCCCCACATGGAGATTAGTGTCATGTCTTTGTCTGCCACATGCTGTGAAGAGGCAGGCGTTTGGTGGGGTGACATTTATCCCTTCCCTCATATGGGCTGATTGTGAATATTAATGTGAGATATAGTGAACTGGGATTACACAGCGGTGGGTTTACTGCGGTGGTGGTGGGTGCTTTCTCAAACTCAGTACAAGAGTGTCAGTTCAAGGATAACTCCTGGGGTTTGAGTTGTGTTGCATATTCATGGTTTCACAGTTACACAGTGATTATTACATTCAGACCTGAATGTGACCTTCATTCTGTGCTTAACGAACCACCGGTAAACGCAACTGTGTTCCAAAACATAGATAGAAAGATAAATGTTGCCTAAAGGATGACTGGCAATAAAGTTTATTTTATTATCAACAAATCCAATGAAAAGATCCAAACTACCAATAGATGTATCCACTAAGGAGTATTTCTTGTGTAACCAAAGCCTCATAATAGCTTATTTTTACGTGCCATAGTTCTCTTAAAACTATATGTTGTATTTTATTATATCCTGTTCCTGCATAATGATAAACATGGACACTGTAGATTTCGTTTGTTTAAATAGATCCCACATACACCGTATGCTGTAAATACTCACAAGAACAACACGTTTATTAAATCCACACGAGAGAATAGTCCCGAACAAATGCACTCCTGTTGGAGTAACAGTGTAGGAAATTCTTTGCCTTTTTTTATATAATAAATATACATATTTGTGACCTGTTTGAAAGATGTACACCCATGATAGCACTGATAGTCTCGGGGTTTTGTGCCACAGATAGGATCCGTAACTCGGTTATAAATGCCAGTTTGATGAACACATTGTTGGTTTTGGTGTTTGATTTGTTAACAAGGCTAATGTCATTTAAACTGGATTAATGTTTCTAAAGTGTTGGTTAATATTGTGATTGACATCCCATCGTGGGCTCTGGTTTGCACACTTTTTTAAATTTTAATTCATTCAGACTAATCAGAAGAACAAAAGGGTTTGAACCTGGACACTGAGCTCCACAGTGCGCAGTATAGCAACAGGGCTGAATGAAAGCCATAAACAAAGGGTTTGCAGATCATTTTGTGCGGCTTTGTGCAGCTGATTAAAATACTGTGAAATTGCTCATGTCAACACTAAACCAAATTGAATGACCTGTACTGGTTTCAATCTGTAGTTTAGGAAAACCATGAGTCATTTACTCTGCAGTCGGCTCTCTTGTTGCAGCTTGTGGTCCAGCCAGTGACCACAGGAGTGTGTCCGGATGGTGGTTTAGTTAGAATGAGCTTTGGCGGGAGAAGAGGAGAAATAGTGTTGGACGGATGCAGGATTTGTCAGCACAGCTCACTATCCAACATCTCTCTAGAATGTTTTTGTCCAACGTCTCAGTCCAGTTACTCTCCAAGACGAATTTACATTTGGGCATCCTGCCTCACACTGAGAAACATTAGTGGCTGCCATAGATGCATCGTTTAAAGAAGGGAAACTGTAAGCTGATTGTATGTTAACGTTTTCACTATCTTTCCTCTTACTAGATTATGAAGTTATCGGTTTACGGCATGCTGCCAAAGAATCTGCACCGTCGCACCATGATGCAGAGGCTACACATCTTTCCTGACGACGTGAGTACAGCTTCCCCAAATCTCTCCAACTGATGATGAGTCTTCAGAACGTAACCTCACGCCTCAAACAGCCTGGCTTAAGAAAGACTGTCAGAAAGGGAGGGGGCCCTACTATCATTTTGCAAAAGAATGAATCCTTTTTTAATCCAGGTCATCTTTATATATAATATAAATGAACTTTAAAATGAATACTTAGTTTACAATAATTGTTTTGCTAGGTTAAAGACAGTATTATTGATTTTCTAGAACTAAATTGTCTCAGCTTTACTGTTTTATTTGGCTCCTAAAGCTGTCACTAAGATTATTTCCATTAGCAGCAGGAAGCTGTTTTCAGTTTTCTCCAAAATGTCTGCCTTTTGAAATGAATTGAAACAAAGAAGTACTTGACTGTCTGTTAATTGACCTGGACAGCCTGCCCAAATATTAAATGGATGCAATGTGTATCCATGCCAGAGAACATCATTAACTCCAGGCGTTGGAAGAACATCTGATTGATTGTTGAATTGTAATGTAATACACGAGGTGTTTGTTGAAGGAAGTCAGATACCTGTCATTTTATTTTGGTCCTGACTTAATATCCAACGTCAAAGTTGATGTTGTGCAGTGTGCATCCCTAATGACGAGCAGATGGGCTTCCTGAGCCTTCGTGAATATCTGCCATCTCATATAGAAGAATAAGTGAAGTGAAGAAGACTGTACAGTGGCTTCAAGTATTTTGGAAACAAAAAAACGTTACCTTCTTGTCAGCCTCTTTCAACTATTTGTCTTATTTCCTTCTTTCATCCTTGAGTTTCTTATCCTGCTCACATTTGATTTTTAACGTCCTCCTCTTTCGTGCGCCCCTCACCAGGAGCTGCCAGACGACATCCTGGCCAACCTGACGGAGGAGCTGCCGCAGCCCAGAGAGATCCCCAAGCAGCTCAACGAGTTCACGCAGGAGGAGATCGACGCCTTCCCCCGGCTGTGGACCCCGTACGTACAAACACATACAGACGGTTCTCAAACACACTGACGCCAGCTTAGATGCAGACACGACATACAGTATAAGCGGTAAAACGGATACGAGGAGATTGTATTTACTGTATTACACACAGAAACCTTCAAAGGACATTCAACAGTGACCCCCCTTAATCCCCAATCCTTTTAAAGACATTTTGGTGTCTGAAATGTTAAACATTCCTACAAGGATCTAATGAATTCTTTCTAACTTTATATACGAGTAAAAACAGTCAAACAAAAACTGAATTGATTGAACTTTAAAACAAATCTTAACATTAATGGTGATTCTAACCTTTAACTTCTTCCTTTTATATGGTTTTTATTTGCTTTATAACTTTTTCTCCTCGCACAAAAATTATTTACAAATCCATTCATTTTTTGTGTGCTGATGAGACAGCCAGCAGGAGGCGATGTTGGTCTGGTGTCACATTGTTTTGTTTGTTTGTGTAAACCACCCTGCCTTAGTGTACAGTAGTTGTCATAAAGTATTTGTTTAATAATTTAGAATATTTAATTTAGTCATGCTGTCTAATAAACGAATAACGTTTTTAGAGACTCAAATTCAAAATAAATGCAGGTTGTTCAAACTGAGTGCAGAAGGTGATAGCACCAGCAGTAGGTGGTGTGTCACTGACCATTACCCAGCTCAGCACAGTCTTTATGTCAATGAGTTAAGGGAAATACGCCTATTCTCTGCTCAGACCTTCAGCAGTGAACGATGCCGGAGCTTCTGCAGTTCTGCATTTTTTACTTCTACGCAACATATGTTTAGATCCAATTAGAACACTTGCAGACCCACTTTTTGACCAGATGGATGCAGTCTGAATGATTGTCAGCCTACAGAGAGCTGTCAGTAGGGCTGCTCGATTATGGCAACAATCATAATCTCGATTATTTTGGTCAATAATTGATGTCACGATTATTAAAAACGATTATCCATTTACTTTGAAAACATCAATTTATTGGAGAAAAAAAAGGGGAACGGTCTGTTTTTAACAGTTGATTACCCTGAACTTTAAGTTGAATTCAACTGAAAAACCAAAAAAAAAAAAATGTATTTAAAAAAAGAAAAAAAAGAAAGTAATAATAAAAAGATAATTGTTTTATTTCGATTACGTTGTTTTCGTAATCGTTGCAGGCGATAATCGCAATTGCTATTAAAATACGATTAATTGAGCAGCCCTAGCTGTCAGTGTGGACAGGGTGCACAGAGGAGAGAGACTTTATGCTTTTAAATAATAACATTGGAGGACAATGCAACACAACCGGCCTCTGTAGATTTATCAGCAGATGTATTGTTTTACAGACTTTGTATCTTATATATGTCTGTTTTCTCCTGGCCTATTGTAGTGGCAAACATCTGAACATAAAAGTTAAAATGTCAGGAGCCCATGTGAGGAACGTCAGCTGTTTTCACCACTTCCTGTGTGACCTCTGCAGGGTGTGAGGGAGCGCCTGGTATTTGGTGTAATCATATTCATAGCTTTTTGAGTAGAGTGTTTTCTGGCTGGAGATTAGGCTGACACTGTGACCCGTGGTTTGCTGATAGTGTCGTTGTGTTGCTTTGGCTTCACCCACAGTGAACATCTCTCCGACAGGTTAACGGAGAGCTCTCACTCTGACGCCTGCCGTGCACTCCTAGCTCTTTAACTCAGTCAGGGTGAGTCCTCCTCACCCACAGAGGGGGAGGTTCAACACCCAAGTCCTCTGGTTGTCTTTGGTTTAACTGCTTAGAGATTGTATCTGCTGGTAAACTCGTATACAAAGTGTAAAAAAGAAAGGGTTTTACATCGTAGCTAAACTTTTAGCTTCACAGCAGTCTAATATATACTAACACCAACTTCACTGCAGTCTAATATATACTAACACCAACTTCACTGCAGTCAATACTGAGTCTCCAGGAGGTTTATGTTTCTATTTCACACAGTAACTACCCCGTTAACAACACGCTCATGCAACTTTTATGCGTTTCATTATGTTGTCCATAATGTGATGTACATACCATTCGCGTAGTTGTTTTTGCATTGTGTTTGATACACAATTTGCATGAAATGATTTCCACAAGGACAGGATGACTCCCAGGATATTAGGACTGCATTATGTGTCAACTCATTAGAGATTCAGTTTACCCACATTTTTTATAAAACACAATTGTATCATCCCGAAACATATCCAGCCATGCAGATCGGTTTTCTTTTGGTGGAAATCTTTAGCCCTCTGCCTCCATCTTATAAATGTAGGGATTTTTATGATACTAGTAATAAATGACAAAGGTATAAAAGCAACACGATGTTCAGGAAATGATGTCCCATAACCTTTTTTTTAGTGTAGAAATAGTCTCATTTAAACTAGACAGCATGTTTTGTAGATTATTTCACAAAAAGAATCTGCTGTTGAATGAGATATCTATTTTGCCTTCACTGTACTGAGGGGGCTATAGAGTCAATATAATGTTTTATAGGGACTGAACCTGTAACCATTAAAGCATTTCAATAATTTGTATGTAATAAACCATCCATCTCCATTTATAACACATTTAAACAAAACACACATTTGGTAGAATATATAGAAACGCTGAATCTATTTTCCCAAAAAGTTTTCATTCAGTTACTGTCCTCTCTGTGTGTGTCGGGGTGTGTGTTCTATACAGACGCATACAGCACGTCTGAATCACATTCGGCTGTCAGGGTGTGTGTGCGCGGTGATAAATGAGCCACTTCTTATTGTTTACTGGTCCAATCTCCTCAGCCAATCAGAGCTTGTGTTCAGGCCTGTCGCCGCGTGGTAGCCAAGGTCAAGCTAATCCTGGTTTATTTAAGGGATGGGCCGTAGCTTAGTTAAAATTCACTCACATTCCGTCTTATTCATTTCACTGATCAAATATGTGTGTGTGTCAGTGAAGGGGGGGGGGGTGAGGTCATCGAGGGCGATTCAATCGTTACCCTTTATTAAACACAGTTAATATTCTCTCAGAAAAACCTTGGAGCAGAATAAATAGATTATACACACACACACACACACACACACACACACACACACACACACACACACACACACACACACACAGTGAGACTCAGAACACCAACAGCATACACACAGTATAGTTGATAGCAGAGCTTTTGCATTGATAACGTTTTTGTCTTGCTTTGTATCAAAACTAATACAGCATGCCCTGATATCTGTCTGCTGCAGTCGCTGCTCAAAATTAAAGGGAGAAAAACACAAAAAGAGGTTGCTGTGTCTGGGCTCATTTTGAAATAAAAAAATCCTGATAAGATCTGCATGATTTCTCATGTGTCACTTTCTCTCCATGTTTTTCCTTGTAATCAGTTATTTTCCCAGACTTTTATGCCTCTCCATACTAATGTGTTGTCTTCTCTTTTCTCCACAGACCTGAAAACTACAAGATGAAATGAGATCCAGGGTGCCCGACGTGACCAAGGCTGAGGAGACTTCAGTTTCACATTAACTCAACCCTGAAAGCAAAAGCATTCTCGATTACATTTCTCGTTATGATACTTAAAATCAAAGGCATTTTTAATAGGATTTGCTCCGAGATGTTATCTGTTCTAAAACACAAAACTGCTTTTTTCTGTTTGGATTAAATGTGGGGAAGTCCAGGAAACAGTACTGGCAATAAGACTTGACTTCAACATCACTCAAGTCTTAACCACGATGCCAGAGACTCTGTGCTCCTCGATACACAACAATACCCCCCACTGTCAGTCGTATTCCCTCCACAGCCGACCTGAATCATCAGGAAACTTCCCCGTGCAGCTCAGCTTTGATCAGAGAAAATAAGATTCTGTGGGGTTTGCTCTGATTACGCAACCATGAACTGATCAGATCTGGCTAAAAAAAGATGACATCTGTTGTCCCGCCTTTTGGAGCTTTGTGGGTTCACCGGGAAACCAATTAATATGTTAATTAACATCATTCAGGCCATCAGTGTGGTTTCAGGTGAATATCTTTACTGTAGTCAGAAAATCCAGAGTCCCCTTGTCTTGTCAGTGTGTTGTGAAAGTTAGTGAGTTGAAAAATAATGTAATAAACAATTGAATCAACCTGTTCTTTTGAAGTTGTTGTAACATCTAGTTAAAAGTGAAATGACCTGAAACACCTTTCATAGTCTCATTACAGATTTATTGGTTATAAAAGCAAACAAAATATAAAATAAATAAGTTCATGTTGTATTCAGGGGCGTGGTGATGAGACCAGACGAGACACATTCCTCTTTGAAGCTGTTCAGGTTGCACAGTTCAAATGTAAAACAGAGCAGGTCCGCTCACAGCTCTTTCATTAGAGGGGGGGGGGGAACCGCTGCCTTGGTTCCACCGAGGCAGCAGACTGTTTTAAGTAATAACTGGATCCAGGTCTCATGCCAGCAGGAGGTCAGAGGTCACCCAGTGAGCAAACAGCTTCCACAGTGAGCAGGCCTGGCATTGCATAAGAACAATAAACAGATGAAACTGGGGCGGCAACACAAGACACAGATTCCTCTTCTGAATTTACCACGTACTTTACCAAGTATAACAATAAGAACCCAAAACAGACCGTCCATCTTTAAGAAGGAAATGTGGTGGTAGCCATATATTCTGTGATTACAGATAACTTGAAAAAGTTAAACATTTAATTGTGTTCCACAGTGTTAAAGTAACACTAAACGTCACAGAAATGATGCTTCTACCAGCATTTCATGGGATTAACTCCAATAATGGATGGTATAAAGAAGCATTTCAATATTCCTCAACACGTTGAAATAAAGACAGCATGGAATCTGGAAATCGTGATTCAACCTTATAAAAAGCAGCCTGTACAACTGTTGCCATCTCAGCGTCCTCCATTTGAGTTGTAAAATAATCTAGCAAGTTACAGACAACCAAAACAAGAAGCACGTGTCCAGTTACTCTTGATGTTTGGCTCACAGGGGACATGCAGCGTCACACAAAAAGAAGAAGGGTTTAGTCCTGAAATCAGCTGAGACGGAACAGGTCTTACCTTTTACATTACCACGGGACGATGCTTACATAGATCAGGCACTTTTCGGACCCCCCCTTTTACAGAGCTATTTACATTGTTTCACCAGGGGGAGCAAACCACTGGATGGGAGGGGGAGGGGGGCTCTCACCACAGTTCTAGACGTTGGACGGTGTGTGTGTGCATTTAAGTGTTTGATTTTTTTTGCTCTGTGTGTTGAGGGGGGCTCAAGCACTTCAGGTGAGTCCGTCCTTCCTCTTAAAGTCCTCCTCCTCTCTCACGCGGCGACGTTGCGCGCAAACCTCCTGGCAACGCCCGGCGACCGCACCTCCGTGTCCTCGGAGTGGGATGGGCTCGAGCGGTAACCACGTTGTTGTGAGGGCTGTTGGGGGTAGTACTGAGGGGGGTAACCACGGTAATAGGGGTCCTGCTCTTCCTCTCCCTCCTCCTCCTCTTCCTCCTCGTCTTCCTCTCCTTGGTCGTCGTTGTAAGTCACTGCAGCTGGGTTGTAAGGCTGGTAGCCGCCGTTAGGCAGGGGTTGGACTGGGATGGTGGGAATATTTGTCAGTTAGCTTTTCTGAACTCCGCTAACATAAAACCACCACCACGGGGAACATGGAGTAAAGTTAAGGCCGACTTTGAGACCATAACCATTTTAAATGCCACCACCATCATCACTTAAAGCAATAAGAAGGTAGCGTGCTATTAAAGGTTATAAAACAGAGTTGCACAGGCAGATTTGGAATCCGCAATAGTCCAAAAGTTTTGGTTAATGAGGAAGTTGGTTAAAGAAATGTAAGATAAATCTGACTTTACCCCGGATTCGTCAGATGTGACAATTTATCCAGAAGGATCACATCTGGGTCACATTATAGGTAAATGTTTTGCCCAGTTTACAGTACAAGAGATGTTCGGATAAGAGGGGGACTTCAGTAATGAATGCAGCCAATCAGCATCGAAGCTATTCATCACTATTTAGCTGAACCAGCAGGCTTCAAAAGAGGAGATTAGCTTTCAAGAGCTTTGAGTTTAAAGCGGAGGCTGCGGCAGCAAACCATTGTGTGCAGCAGCGTTTGTTGACAGATGGCACAGAGATCATCGCCGCAGCGTTATTCTGGGGTTTTGTCTGGTCTTGTGGGAAGGTAAAATAATCCCTTTCTTTCTCACAGACTGTCAGATGATGAAGCAGCCGGATTAACCATCCAATTTTATCAATAAAGTTAACTGACAGGAGAAATGAATCCAGTTTCTGTATATAAGAGGGAATCATAAAGCATTGTTTGCATAAAGACTGAAGATCTGGTGAATTTAAGGATTTTAAACACCTACACAGGACCAAAATGAGGACAGAAAGTTGACTAAAAATCCACTCTCTAACTTTAAATGGGTGAAAAACTAACTTCAGGTTCAGGTTTTGTTGCCGTTTTACAGGAATAACTGCATAAACAAAGTGTTGGTTGCAAAGTTATTTGGTCTCTGAAAAAGAAACCCACTGCTGCAGGGACTCAAGGTTAAACACTG